CAGCAAGACAAGGGAACGCTTTCCATTTTGAGGAGATGTTTTATTGGCTGGGGTTTTATCCTAGTGTTTCAGGCGACGCTTCTCAGTCATTGACTGAGCCTTAATTGCCAAGTTGAGAAGACTATCTGTTCCTTGAGTTTAGACCTGGATAAACCTCCAGCATGCACATACTGCCTCACTTCACTGTTCACTAGCTCATTCTCTCTCAAACCTCACCAGTTGCCAAACCTCTACCAAAACCACAGTCCTTCTTCCCCCCAACCCCCAAACCTGCCTGGGGCAGTTAGAAAGCAGCTATTTTTTTAATTGCCTCGCTTTATCAAATTTTAGTTTCCTAAGTGTTATTATCTATCTTCAACAGAGTACGTTCTTTATTGACATTGCAGTGCACCGTTCTTTGTGTAAAAGGAAAACATAATTAGTATCTGATACTGTATAGTCTCCTTGAGCGCTGCATACAAATATATTGTTGATGAGCTCAGTAAGCATCAGATAGCTGAACGGTAAGTATTTTAAACGCTTAAATCACGCACTTGATAAATTGTTACAGGAATTGAAGAGTGACGTTACTGATATTTAGGAAAATTGGCTGGATTTTTTGTACAGACATGGAGTGCATGATTATTTTTCCCATTTAAAATACCAGCACATAGACTACCTCTAAAAATACTAGAACAGAGTCTAACTCTAGTGCCTGATTTGTTACCGAACATGTTTCCAGGAATATCTCAGATTCCAATAACGAGGAATGCAGGCTGTAGTTAAAACGGCAAAGATGTTGACATTCCTGGCCCCCACTAGCTTGTGTGAAGTGCTGTCCAAACCATCATCTTTAGCTCTGCATGGGCAAATGCTTCCACCCAGAGCTTCCCTGATCTGTATCTGATGCTGACACCAAAGAGGTCACAGCAGTGTCCGTCCCCCACTCCTAAGCCCCATAATGTGAAATGGCTTTGATTTTATATTTACGTTAGTTTTAATCTGATTACTTCATCTGATCTCATACTGTAACATACAGGAGAAAGAGGAGACCCCAAATCAATAATAAGGACTCATAAGAAAGATAATTTTGGGGGGGGGCGCCTGGGTGGCTCAGTCCGTGAAGCATCTGTCTTCGGCTCAGGTCATGATCCCAGGGTCCTGGGATAGAGCCCAGCACCGGGCTCCCTGCTCAGCGGGAGGCCTGCTTCTCCCTCTCCCACTCCCCCTGCTTGTGTTCCCTCTCTCGCTGTCTCTCTCTGTCAAATAAGTAAATAAAATCTTTTTTTTTAAAAAAAGATAACTTTAAAAAAATAGTCTTTTGAAGGGAGATTATACAGAGTTTCTACTGCGTTCCAAGCAGTTTCAGGTGTGCTATCTGGATATTATTTCATTCAGTCCTTTCAGCCACCTACAAAATAGGTATTATTACTTCCACTTGATGAATGAAGAAACAGCATCAGAAGGGTTAGGTAACTTGCCCAACCCTGCATGACACCACATTTCCTATTAGGAAGGGATTTAAGACCACGTAGGCTCAAAGACAGTTTGGGTCAAAATTTCCATTGCGGTGTTCACTGTAAACTGAACAAATCATAGTTTATTTTTTCCTTGTAATATTTTGAAGTTTCTAGGAAATGTGTGTACCCGACATAAAGACTATACCAATTTGTGTATTTTATAAAGCTTTTTCACATATACCTTCACTGGTTCTTATAATAATTCTTAGAAATGAGGGAAAAAAACTCAAAATCTGGAACAAAATCAAATGTATATTTTCTAGATTATGAACACTCCAAGGACAAGGATCTAGTTTCATTTCTTTTCTGCCCTTATCCAGTTGGGTAGGTTGACTTGCAAAAATAAACACAATTCTTCTCTCACACCCACTTCCTACTTTTGCATATTAATTTTTTTCTCCTTTGATTGTGAAGTCGAACCCACATACAGAAAAGCATATCAAACATATATAAGTTTAATGAGTAATTATAAAGTGAAAATACATATAACGGCCCCCGAGTTCAAGAAAAAGAGTCTATCACCAGCAAGGAGGGACCCTGCTTCCCCATCTTGTGTTACTTCTTCCTTATTACCCCATCTTTCCCCACTATCTTGACTTTTGAGATAATCATCCCCTTACTTCTTTGGATAATTTCACCATATATTAGGGAAAACAGCATCCTTTAGTTATGCCTACTGTCAGCCTTTATGTTCGGTTCTGTTATGCTATGTTATGGCAGCCTGTATGTACGATCTCCTTTTTGCCTAGCTTATTTTGCATTATGTTTATAAGATTCCCCCAAACCGTCCTAGGTAACTATACTCTGTGCACTCTTATTGTTGTGTCATGTCCCATTTTATGAATGTACCCCAATTTAAGGATATTTGGGGTATTTCCAGTTTAGGACTATGACTAGGCTTTGGCTTTAAATATTCTTATATATGTATCCCAGTATACTTGTGCGAGCATTTCCCTAAAGCAAATTTTGATCCCAGAATCTAACAATTTAAAAATTAAAGTACATGAAATTAAGTAATTAAAAAAATTTTTAATTTGAAGTTATTGAGATCTGAGATGCTTAAAAACATCTCGTATCTAATTCATTTAAAATAACAATAATAAACCCATTACATGTTCTAATCGTTTCCTGAGACTGCCATAACAAATTTCCACAAATGTAGTGAACTAAAACAACAGAAATTTCTTCTCTCGGGGTCGTGGAGACCAGATGTCTGAAATTAAAGTGTTGCCAGAGTTGGTTCCTTCGTGAGAATGTTCCAGGCCTTTCTCCTAGCTGCTGGTAGCTGTGGGCAATTCTTGGCATCCCTTGGCTTGAGACCTATCACTCCGGTCTCTGCTTTTGACTTCACATGGCATCCTCCCCATGTGTCTGTGTTGGTGTGCCTGTAATGTCCCTCTACTTTCTTTTATAAGGACACAGGTCACCGTATTTAGGGACCATCCTAGATCCAGGGTGATCACAATTCAAGATCCTTAATTACTTCTGCAAAACAAAAACAAAAACAAAAAAAACCCCACCCTATTTCCAAGTAAGGTCTCATTCACTGAGATGTGGAGTTAGGACTCAGACATGTGTTTTTAAGGGACACAATTCAACCCGCTATACATGTCAATATAAATAACACACTTTTAAATGAAAAATAGCTATATTTTCCAAATAAAAATTTAGTGGTGAGTGATCTTGCTGCATATTTTTGTAAATCTCTTTAATGTCTTGATTCATACAAGGAGCTGGGTGCTCATCTGCTTTTTTACTTTCTTTTTTTTTTTTTTTAAAGATTTTATTTATTTGACAGAGAGAGACAGTGAGAGAGGGAACACAAGCAGGGGGAGTGGGAGATAGAAGCAGGCTTCCCGCTGAGCAGGGAGCCCAGGACCCTGGGATCAGGACCCGAGCCAAAGGCAGACACCCAAAGACTGAGCCACCCAGAAGCCCCTGCTTTTTTATTTCAATCCATTATTTGTTGTTTCAGTTGAGATATATGATGGATAAAAGCCTCTAAGCCAATAATCTCAGACTCCCCTGGGAGGGTTTCAGAGGCTCCCAGGAGTCTTTGGGGCACACTTTGAGAAGCACTGCTCTAAAGTGTACACTTAAAAATATATGCAAAGTGAAATTCCTAGGCATATGTATATATCTCCTGCTTTGCTAGATAATGCCACACTGTTTGTGGTTTGTATCACATTACACATGGACTAGCGGTGCCTGAGGGATCTTGTTGCTCCACATGTTGCTAACATCTGGTATTGCTACACTTTTAAAATGTTGCCTATCAGGTGGTGTGCATTTGCGCAAAGTCACAAGTTAGAAAATAGGACCCAGGGCGCATGGGTGGCTTAGTCCATTGGGCGTCTGCCTTCAGCTCAGGTCATGATCCCAGGGTCTTGGGATCGAGTCCCCAGATCGGGCTCCCTGCTCAGCGGAGAAACTGCTTCTCTCTCTCTCTCTCTCTCTCTCTCTGCTGCTCCCCCTGCTTGTTCTCTCTCTCTCTCTGTCAAATGAATAAATAAAATCTTAAAAAAAAAAGAAAAGAAAATAGAACCCATGTTTCCTACTTTGAAATTCATTCTTCCTTCCTCCCATAGACACAAATAATGCTTCTGTCTCTGGCCCAGTTGTCACCACGGTGCAATCTCCTCCAAATCTTATCTCCTCAGGGCTCCCTTCCCCACTGCGGAGGCTTTGGGCACCCCAGGACACTGGAGGTCCTGCATCTCCCCCTTACCAACACCCCTCACCCCCACCCTGCCTGTGCACCCACCTCCCTCACTTCCCTGCCTGGCGCCTACCCACCTCGCTCTATTTACCTCTCAAAGCCCTCTACCACCCTCTGCTGATCATCTTCAAGTCATGAGCCTCACCATTGGTCATTTATTTAAAAAACGGAATGATCCCTAATTTGTGTTTATATGCACAAGAAAATGTATAATTTAAGAAATCAACACCTGTTAGTTTCTATTAATATTACGTACTATTTTTTAAAAGCACTCCAACATAAACCAGGGTGTGATCATAGGCAAGTTACTCAACTTTCTGGATCCTCAATCCAGATCCTCAGAAGGATCCAAAGACGTGTAATACGCTTAGCACGGTGCCTGATGATAAGGAGCGCTCAATTGATGTTTACTTTTATTTAATGAAAGCTTACTTAGTGCTTACAATATGAAAAAGTAACGTACTTTTTGAAAGTACCGAAGCCTTGTAATAATGCTCTGGGTTAGGTAGTATCCTCATTGTACAGAAGCCAACGCCGACGCAGGGAGGTTGCAATAGTACCTGCAGGCAGCACGCCCCACCTAGACACCAGCGGGACCCACCCTTTTCTCTGGCCCCGCCCCGCCACGTTCACTACGACGATGGCCCCGCCCCTAACCTCCGGCGCCGACGGAAACCAAGCCGACGTCTCGCGAGCTTCCACGTACACGCTCCAACGCCTCTCCGCCTCTGCCGGGGAGAGCACATCCGGGTTGCTGGAGCAGGTGCCTCAGGCCCCGCCCCCTTTCACCAGGCTCTCGCCCCACTTCCGGCCATCTCAGGCCTCTTTCCGCCCGTGCTTTGCCGGCTTTATCTTTGCTCTGTAGGTCGTTCCCGGCGCCTGGACCCGGTCCCTGCGCACCGCTCGCCGGCACCCAGCGTCTCGTCCCTCCTCCCGAATCCCTCCGAGGCTCGGAGCGACTCTGCCGTGCGTCTTCGCGGGCCGCCCGGGCTGAGGCCTGCCGCGCGCGGCGAGTCCGCGCAGACCTGACCCCGCGTTTCCCCGCAGCTCCGTTGAGGCCGCCGCCGTCGCCTCGGGATGCCGGGGCCGGGGTCCGCGCAGCGCTGGGCGGCCGCCGCGGGCCGTTGGGGCTGCAGGCTGCTCGCGCTGCTGCTGCTGGTGCCGGGGCCCGGCGGCGCCTCCGAGATCACCTTCGAGCTGCCGGACAATGCCAAGCAGTGTTTCTACGAGGACATCACGCAGGGCACCAAGTGCACCCTCGAGTTCCAGGTATTCGGTGCTCTCAAAGTCCAGGGGCCCCAGCTCGCGGTTCCGGGGCCGGGCCTGCAGCCTGCTTGCGGACTCCCTCTTGCTGAGGTTTTTCCATGCTTTGGCTGAGGAATCACCTCTAGGTAGCCGAAGCGGGGCATTTGCCTTTCCTGTTCTAAGCCTGGGGCGAGAGCCATTTTAGACCAGATAGGAAGATGAGTGAATCCCAGAAATGCTTCCTGTGGCTGTGACTTTTCCTTCCATGCTCTAATGCCTTTCGTTTTAACGCCTATTGAACTTTCCTCCTTAGAAGACTCTCCTTTAAAAAAAAAAAAAAAGTTCTTCCTGTGCGGTGGTGCTCAGTGTCCGGACCCCTACTCTCTCTGACCCCCACCTCCACTTTAATCAGATTCGAAGTACTGCCAATATCTCATTCCACTGCTTTTCAGTTTTTCCATTGACGTTCCTAGGACTTTTGGTGAATTCTGTCCCCTGTCATGGGCAGAGCTCCATTGGATGGAACACCTGCCAAAGGTGTAGCGTAGAACACTTCGTTCTTCAAAGGGCTGTGATCAGTGAGAGGCCCCTTTTTGTCTTTGGGATTTTATAGAAAACAAACTTTATTTCACAGAATGTGGTTTCTTAAGTTTGTTACAACAGTCTTTATTTCTGTTTTTCTTGGTAGACTGACTTAACATGTGTGAGCAGCCGTTGAGCGGTAGGTGCTGGTGATTACAGAAGTGGTCCAAATAGATTGGGTCACTGCCGTCATTTCTGATTCCCTACTCATCCTTCCCTTGTCTCAGTACCTGTTCATTCGTCAGGACTGTGTTTTAAGAGCAGAAAATAGGAGATAAAATGGTCTGATCTTTGGGATCGATGAGGGCTTCCTTTAGAAGTGATTTTAAGCTCACCTCTAAAGGATTGGTTGTAAATACCTTGGTAAGGGGGTGAGGGAAGAGTGACTTTTGCAAGAGTGACTGGGTACTTGAGGACCATCGAGAGATCCAGGATAGTTGGGAATAAGGAGCTGGAGGAAGGGAGGTCAGGGGCCAGACCATGTGCCTTGCTGGCCTAGTTAAGGATTTTAGTTTTTCCTAAGAGATGGGAAAGCCCTCAGAGGGCTGTAAGCTGTGCAGTGGAGTGGCTGTGGAAGACAGCCTATTAGAGTGGTCCAGGCTTCTAGGGTGGGAGCTGTGGGGAAGGAGAAAAGTGAAGGGATTGGAGAGAAGTTCGTAGGTGAAATCAACAGGACTTGGTGATGGTTCGGCTTCTGTGAGCGAAGGGAGCGAGGCTAAGGATCACCCTTCGGTTTTGTTTAACTTCATGGATTAGAGCCAGGGGACAGAAAACAAGATAGCAGGAATTGTAATATAAAAGTGTGAGTGTATTTCAGGTGTCAGCGTCAGACGCTGTGCTTGGTGCTGAGAATACTACCACTACTATTCCGGGCTAAAAAAAATTAGCATCTGTTATGTAGCAGACAGTATGCCAAGTATTTTAGGTATGTTACTTAATTCTCAGGACAACTCCATAGAAAATAGATACAGTTCTTATTTCTTTTTTACTTATGAAGCTGAGGCTTTGAAAGCTGTAAACCCAAGGTCACAAAACTTAGCCAGTAGCAGAATGCAGCAGTATGCAGTACCAGGTTAAATTCTTAACTCCTTTATTATATACAGCACCTCCCAAAGATCAATAAGACTGACCTTGACCTCCGGGAGCTTCCATGGACACATTACAGTCAGACAGTATTAAATGCAACAGTGAAAGTGCACGCTCGGTACAGTGCTGGCCAGAGGCGAAGGGGTCATCAGGGAAAGGTGGCAGAGGGGCTGATGTTTGAGTTGTGTCTAGGAGAAACAGGAGTTACTCTACAAGATGGCAGAGGGGAAAGGACATCCTAGGCCGGTAGTTTGTGAGACTCAATTCCGGAAATCAGCTTGAGCCCACACTGAAATACAGTGTGTTGCATTGTAACTGTGGGTCCAGGGGCTTTAGGGGTGGTTCCTACCATTTTGTCATAACTGGTTATTGGTAATAGATTGATGATGAAACAGTCTTGGTGAAACTGCCCCCCGAAAAGGCCGTGCTGTTGAGACTGGTTCCATGGTAGGAATATGTCGATGTGACCAGCAAAATAGAAAAAAACCCAGCCAGTCCTCGATTTTGGGCTCCCTGGTTCCAAGGTGTTCCTTGCACACTTGAGTGGTTCCTAATCCGAGAGTCTGTGTCCGGCTCCAGTCCTCAGAGAGGGAGGACAAAGGACCACACCTAACCTTCCAACCTCTTTCTGTGAGACAGCTTTTGACTCTGGTAGTTTATATTCTTTTCCTGTGATAAGCTGTAAATTGGTAAGTATTGTCATTGTGGGTCCTGATTCTTTAGCAGACAGGACCTGTTTAACCTGCTGCTGTTCGTGCGGGTGTAGAACAAAGACTTGTTCACTCTGCTATTTTTGGAACACAGAGTCAGGAAGGGTATAGAAGAGGTGCCGAGGCTACCTTGAAGGAGGTGCAGAGGAGTGGTGTGGCATTGTTAACAGGTTTGGATTTTTCTGGAGGCCACAGGAATTGAGAAAAGGTTTTAAGCAAATGGGGAGGTGGGGAGATTGCCCCCCCCAGACATGTGGGGGGGTGTTGCTGGCATCTGGAGGATGGAAACCAGAGAGGCTGCCCAACCCCCGCAAAGAATTATCCAGCCCTAAGGGAGCTGAGGTGGAGAACAAACCCCGGGGTTAGAGGGAGGAGAGATCAGGTTGTGGGAAGACCTTTTAGGAAGTTGTGGCTTTAGTCCTGTCTAGGCTGTGGATTAGGAATGGAAGAGAGAGGGTGAATTTGAGAGAGGCAGTAACGTCAGGAGATTTCTGTGAGAACTGGACAAGTAGGGACACTTAGTTTGGGATGATTCCCAGTTTCTAATTTCCGTGACCAGGCAGATTGTGAAGGGGTAGTTTTTATCTGAAATAAGATTATTTGTTTTAAAGTTTGATGGAGGAAAAGTGGCATGGTGATCAATTCTGGTCCTCTTCCGTTTGTGTACACATTTGACGACTCAAAGTACAGTGGCCACACGTGAACAAAATGAAGTCATGGTTTTCACCTGGAGGAAAGGTGGTTGACATTTGGAGAAGTGGTAAATGCCCAATTGTTATGACCATTTTTATGTCAAAACATTATATCCGTATGTTAATATTTGCATATTTTTGCAGTTCTCTAAGTCCATAATTATACTTCATTTAATTATCACAGTGTTGTAGTTAGTTCAGTTATCCATCCTGTCTCCTAAGTGACAAGAGGTCACATTAGCAGCCAGTCCTTCTTTGAAGTGCAAAGTTTAATCTCTGTCCTACAGACCTAGAATGTCAGTATTACGCTAACCAAGAGGGTTCAAACCTGAAAGTACAGGCTTGTGCGCTCTCCCCATCTCAGCCCTCAAACCCACGTCTCTCATATCATTCCCAACTTTGCAGCCAGCGCCCCTTCTTTCCTATGTTCCTCCCTCTCTCTTCCCGCTTAATTCTTGCTCCCATAAGGAGGCCTCTCTCCTCCCTAGTCCTTTTCTGACTATGCCTGTCCTGTTACCTCCAGAAAAATCTCCCTCCCCTGCTTCTGTGCAACCCCAGTGGCCTATAAACTGTAACTGATTAAACATGAGCCCTTCAAAACAGCTCCAGAATCCTCTTCAGAACATTTCCTTTACCCCTGGCTTTCCTTTCACATGTGCTTGCCCTAAGGTACAAGCTTTCCAGATAAGTGGAAGATTTGTTTGCTTTTGTTTTGTTCTGTTTTGTTTTTGTTTTAATCACAAGTATACAAACAATATAGTTTAGTCCTTAATGTTTCCCTGGGGAACAAGTTTATAAAATAATGATAAACTCTTTGAATAGCCCACAAGCCTATTCAGTTCATAATGTAGTTCAAAACAAAATGTGTATCAAATTCCATATAACTGACCTATAGAAGCACTTACGAAACAAACCTTTTGTTATTTGGCAGTGAAATGAGTTGAAGTTCTATAATAGAAACATGCTTGGGTGGCATGCCAAGGACCAATCTACGTTCCTACTTCACCGCACTGTCCGTGTGTGCTTGGATGGTACAGAGAGGAAACCAGGGAAGAAAATTTGGGGAGGGAAAATATCACATGGCAGTGAGCTTAAGGGTCAAGAGTCTGACTTTGGACTTCAGGTTCTGCCTCGCCTTTTGCTAGATGAGCTATCTTGGGTAGGGTGCTTATCTTAACTCCGTTTCTCAGCTTGTCAGATGGGAGGGTGAAAACCCTCTCTTGTAGGGTCCTTGGGAGAATCAAGTGATGTAAGCTGTCACAAGGAAATTTGTTCCGTTTCTCTAAAGCTTGAACTGACATCTGCCTCCCAAATTCCATCCATTGCTAGAAAGAAAAAGTGTAAAATTGCCTGTGATAGGGAAAGTCCTTTGCCTATAGCCTATTGTCATTTTAACAGGAAATCTGATTGCTTTCTCAAACTTGTTAGTTGCCGTGATGTCTTACCTTTTTCCTCTCTCTCTCTCCATAGGTGATTACTGGCGGTCACTATGATGTAGACTGTCGGTTAGAAGATCCCGATGGTAATGTGTTATACAAAGAGATGAAGAAACAGTATGATAGCTTTACCTTCACAGCCTCCAAAAATGGGACATACAAATTTTGTTTCAGCAATGAATTTTCTACTTTCACACACAAAACCGTCTATTTTGATTTTCAAGTTGGAGAGGACCCACCTTTGTTTCCTAGTGAGAACCGAGTCAGTGCTCTTACCCAGGTAAATAAAATGTCAGCAATATAGTAGTGTGTTTAAAGAGGGGGGGAGCGTAAATTAATATGCCTTAACTTATGAATGCAGAATTTTGAGACTTTTACCCAGTCTTTAAGATCTGTCTTAATTCTTTTAGATTAAGCATTTCGCAGAGAACTTTGGACTTTTTTGGTGAAAACCACTGTTGAAGGATTTTATGAACTTTTAAGTGTAAAGAAAATAAGCCTTGAAATAGGAGGGTCGCTTCAATGGGAAAGGACATTTAGGAAGACTGGACATGCTCCCGCATTCTGAAGTCATGGAGGGATACGACTTCATAACCTGGCAGGTTGCTGTAACTGGAAACAAAATGGTGCCTTAACTGATACGTAAATATGCCACAGGGTAGTGTTAGACCAGGATTTAGTGTCCATTCACACTGCTGTTAGAATGTTTGCTGTAACTTAAAATAAAATATTAAGGATTAGTGGTAAGTCATCTAACAAAAAATAGTTAAAGGGTGCCTGGGTGGCTCATTTGGTTAAGCAGTTGACTCTTGATTTTGGCTCAGGTCCTGATCTCAGGGTCCCGGGATTGAGCCCCGAGCTGGGCTCCCGGCTCCGTGCTTGGCGGGGAGTCTGCTTGAATAATCTCTCCTTCTGCCCTGCCATCTCTAAAATAAATAAATCAATCTTTAAAAAAAAAATAGAGGAAAAGTAAAGATAGATTGGATTTTATTTTGAAGAAGACCTTAAAGAGAGAAGGATAAGGAAAGAAATTTAAAGTCGATGGACAGATGCTGCTCAGTGGATAAGAAGAGCTCTTTAATTTCCAGTTTAAATATAGTCGGAGCTTAGATTTTATCTAAAAGACTCTCAATTACATATCCAGAGGAATTATTTACCACCTACTTGTTCGGACCTTAAACTGGTATTTCATTCTTCCCAGGTTCTAGTTAGTCTGTTGGCCAAAATCACGTGGTGGTAGAGGCAGTTTTGAATAATGTATAAGACCCTTAATTCCTAAACCTCCTGTGAGCATTAACAGGATGTATTCATGCTAATACTTTTAGAAATGTTCCCTCGTGTTTTGGCATCCTGTATGAGTGGCACTTCACTTTGTAAAAAGATTTTTCTTTGGGGCCTTTGTTTATGACTTAACCTTCATGAATTTTAATTTGAATAAGAAGGTAGCTTGCCCTAAAAACCTTAATAGGTAAATACAAGGAATGCATGGTAATAAAGCAGTCAGTATCCATTAATCTTCTTTATTCATCTCACATTTTTTAATCTTAGTCTTATTTTTCTCCTTTCAAAAGCTAGTAAGTCCCTCATACGGTAGTGATACTTAAAAAGCAGCTGTTCACACCTTGAAATAGAAAAAAATTACCAGCTGGTAAATGCAGAAAAATTATAGAGTTGTTGTAAATCACCATTTTTCACCTATTAATAAGACGATAGATCTGGAGTAGACCGTGATTACCGGTCACTGCTAAAACCACGCCGTGAAAGGCTGAGGGGAGGTTTATAGTGACGGGATCACACTGATACCACCTAAACCTAATGACCATTTCCAGATGGAGAGATGACTAGGCATTGTGTGTCTTCTGTGTGTCTTCGCATTAATGAAGTACACAACATTGCCCGGGAGGTGTTCCCACCCAGAACATTGCATCTGAGTCCCTTCCAAGTCTCTTGCTCCAACTACCAGTTCATAAGAAAAACAGGATGGAGGAAGGCCATGGGGATACGGTCAGCAAAACCCAGGAAGTTGGAAATGCTGCGGGACGGAGGACCCATTTCTTCAACAGACGGGAAGGGAAAGAAGCCGAAAGAGAACCTAAAGATTAAGAAGACTTAAAAGACACATCAGCCAATGATTGTGTCGGAGCTCTTTGGGTTCCGATTTGGAAACAACTTTTTTAAGATATTTGGGGAACTTTGAACGTTAAATTTCTATTGAAAAATTTTAAAAACTATTTTTGATGCTTTGATGTGTGATAATCCTCCCAGGGTTACACTTTTCAGCGTTGCCTTTCAGAAATGAGTGTAAAGTGTAAGAGTATCACTGAGATGGTAACACACAAGGGATTTGCCTTCAATTAGTTGGAGCGGGGAGGAAAACGGGTGAGGAATATGTGTTGGTGAGACAAGATTAGCCATGTGCGTGTTACTAACGTGAGGCTTTGTTGTACTGTGCTCTTTGGAATATGAACTTGAATACGAACAGTTCCGCTTAGCGTTTGCCTTTTTTCCCTGTGTTTTCTGTCTCAAAAATTATATGAATCCATGCAATTATTCCCTTAATTTCTGTGATTTTCTTTCATCCAGCACTCACTTCTTAACCCTCACTCCAGGCTGGGCTTCAGGGAATCCCAAAACATTCTGAATTTGTGTCAGATCCTTGCTTTTATGCATACTTCCAGGGTTAGTACCACTCACCACTCTGAGAATGCATGGAAAGTAGAGATCGGCTGGAAGCACCTCTGTAGCCCCCTCCCACAAATTAGAAGTCAGTCATTTCAGGACAGCTCTGCTAATATTTGATTCCGAAGGGCCTAAACAAAACAAGAACAGCAGAAACGTTCGAGTATCCCAAGAGGTACATGGAATTTGTGGGCCACATAATTTCTCGCACTTTTTAGAAGCGTTTTAATGACTTTTTATAAATGATTTCTTTCATACTTTGACAGAACTTTATTAAACGTTTGAATTCTTTTCTAGTGTCTATATTCCTTCACTAAAATTAAGGCAGGAAAAAAATATTCCCAGAATCTTTTGAGAGATTCTTTGGATTTATTAGTAAAAGGAGGGAAGAAGCTGTAAAAGTTATAAACACTTGAGGAGACGTGAGTCCAAATAACTTTGTGACATACAGGTATTATAGTGACTGACTTAGCTTAACGATGTTGGGGTCCAAAAGGAGAGAGAGGAGCAGAAAGGAACGTTGTAAGGTTGCTAAGATAAACGTCACTGGAGAATTTTCCAGAATACAGGAAAACAGTAACGTTCACCACCTTCCTCCCCCTGCTTCCCACACTCAGTGGTCCTCGTCACTGTCCTGTGTCATAAAAATATTTTTCTTTTGTATGGCTGTGCACAGTATATGCTCCTTCCTTAGTGATGAGGGGAAAAAACCCTCAGATCATTTTAAAAATTCTTAATATATGGTTTGTGATGTAGAATAAGTATAATAATAGAGTATTTCATCACTAGGATTAAGTTTTCAGCAGTAGAAAACCACTACACTGTGCTGTGTTAAAAACCCTTCCCAAAGCAGATCATGTGATGAATGTGTAGAAAGGTAAGGTGCTGTCAGATGAAGACACAGACTGATGACACCGTGAAACTGAAACTTCTTCCCCCTGAGAACAGTGGTATTGGCTCAGTTGACTGGCCGAAGGGAGGAGACATAGACATGTTTAGCAGATTGGTAAATTAAAAAACAAAGACATTGATGCTCTGACCTATCACTCTCAGACTCCTCTGCTTTTAAAATAGTTAATAACTTTGAATAAATCTATTTTTGTGTCCTACTTGGGTTTTTTTGCATGTATCTGGGCTTTGATTTGTATTCTTCTTATTCATCAAATTTACCGGCCTGCCATTCTTGTCTTCCTAATTCTTCTTCATGCAAGAATCTGAACTTGAAATTCTGTAACCGCCAACTGTGACCGCTAAGTGTTTCTGCTACTGTTGGCTCGGCGTTCCATCTGGTACCTTACAGGTGCCATAGCTGTGACTTTCCAAGGTGGGGCAAGCCGCCGCCTCGCCGAGTCTCTGGCCTTACCAGTCGTCCTAGTGGGGATGGCCGCGAGGACGGCGTTGCTAGCACCGCGGGCCTACATGCGTGAGCACGCGAGTTCCGCTTCAGTAGCAGGCTGATCATATGAGGAATGGAGATCAAATGGAAAGATGAATTACCCATACTAACTGGAAATCTTTCTCTTTAGATGGAATCTGCCTGTGTCTCCATTCATGAAGCTCTAAAGTCGGTCATCGACTATCAGACTCATTTCCGTTTGAGAGAAGCTCAAGGCCGAAGCCGAGCGGAAGACCTAAATACCAGAGTGGCCTACTGGTCCGTAGGGGAAGCCCTCATTCTCCTGGTGGTCAGCATAGGGCAGGTATTTCTCCTGAAAAGCTTTTTCTCAGATAAAAGAACCACCACAACTCGAGTTGGATCCTAACTACGTTTTGAGAATTGACGCACCATTGCCACCATAATATTGCTGTCCTCTAATTAATTTTAGGTACCGAAGAACTTGATATTGGCAACATTTTTAAACCTTACTCATACACTTGTTGGGGGGGATGTACAGTGCATATCCCCAAGCTGTGGAAAGGACACCTTTTTTTATTTGTAAAGGTAGAAAAACTTCGGAACTTACTTTGGGCTCCCCATGTTCAATAGTCAGCACCAATGATCTCAGTTGTTTCTATCTACTCTTTGCACACTAAACTGGTATTTTGATTTCTTTTAGCCATTTAAAAGTACTTTTCTTATAGGTAGTGGATATTTTAAAAACCTTCAATTTAATATCTGTGTGTTGTGGAGGAAGAAAATTGCCTTTTAATTGTTTATAGTACAGTTTTGTTTTTCAGAAAACCAAAAGTGATTAACTGTAGCCCAGGCCCTATTCTGCACTGTTTTAATTTGGGGGTGGGGGGAGCCACCGTGGAAACGTCAGTTAAGAAACGTTAGTTAATACTGATATAATTTTAAATTGATGCATCGTGGTAAAATTTATTTCGTGCTAGCTTGGAAAATGTCAGATTTTTGGTTTTTTGTGTGTTTATTCTATGATTTATAAGCAGATACATTCTTTTTTTCCTGAAGACATTCTTAACCACAGAGAAAATAGTATGTTTCGATAGCATAACAGTTTATACAAGCCTTAAAAATCAGACTGTTAAAACAGGTAGAGTAACTACAGAACAACTTAAGATTCTATAGTGGGAGGCAAATGAAATGAGAAAAGTCTCAGCGAGTTATCTGCACATTATGACATTTTCAGTGCTTTTACAAAGAAAAAAGGTGGTCTGTTTTATTTTAACATTTTGATTGGCCGGTTCGTGCCCTAATGTGGCTTCAGTGTCTGAGTCATTCCCCGCTTAAATTAACAGTTGTAATATTCGTATTGTAAAAGTGCCATATATTTTATCCTGATGGGTGTGATGCACTGAGAAGTTAGTTTCTTTGGTTTTTTTCTTTCTTTTTTGTTTTGGTTTGGTTTTTGGTTTTTGTCTTGTACATGTAATTTGTACAATCTCTGGTTAGCCACCCTAAGATGATTTGAAACTTTAGAATGCCGTGTTTCTTATTTGATGATCTTCATCGATTGTACTGCATTTAATGATTATTAAACAGTGCATATTCTGTACACTATAGGGTTTAGACTGTGTTTGTATTTTATAACTTGTGTAGACTGAGCTGATCGATTTGTCAGATTTGTTCAGGTATTCCAGAAGAGAATACAAGACAAGTGAGAAACTCTATAAGTATTTAAAGCTTTTCTGCTGTTAAAAAAAAAAAAAAATTGCAACTGCTTTTTGCCCTGCCTCCCTCCCCCACCCAAGAGTGATGAGTGCTGAGCAAGACTGCCCTATTGTAGAGATTCTGGTAAGTAGCACATAGCTAGAATAGAATAGCAGTTCAAATCACTGTGGACTAGAAGTTAACTCTTAATGCTAAGCCGTCTTTAACTGTCTTCAAAAAGCATATACACTTCTTCCTGTAAGAGCAGAACAAATTCATAGTTGTCATGCTTGCTAATTTCAGTTGCCACAGTGTAGCAAGGGACGAACCATTTTCAACCCTTGAATTCTAAAAATTTCCAAGACCAAATAGCAACTCCTTAAACTGTGTATCAGGAACTGGAACTCTCAGATTTTGCAGATTTCCCTATTTGGGTTCTTGCAGTGGAGTTGTCCTGCAGCTTTCTAAGTGTCCCTCTAGATAAAGTTTTGCACATTTTCAGCACTAGCGTTATTGTGATTGATAAGCACGGGCATGCATCCCGTGTCCTTCTCTCTGGCTACCTGTCTGCTCTGTTGACTTCGGACACTTAACACCATAATGAGGCAGAGTCAGGTATCATCAGTGCACAGAGTGAGCATAGGTAATGTCATCTGATCTGTGCCTATCAAAACTTGATGATACTAGACTATTACTACAAATAACTTTTGATGAAACTATTGAGGTCGGTTAAAATTTCTGAAATCACCACTGTTACCCGCTGTAGAAAATAGTACAGGCTTAATCTAGTCTGTATGTAACTGGTTCAAGTTTGATGGCAGTCTATACTCAACCGGGTATGTATATGTAAATTAGAAAATACATCTCTATCCAGACCTAAATGTTAAGGCCTGTTTTCTTTCTTCCTCCTACTATATAATTTGTAGCTCATCTTTTTTCTTTAATCCTTTCATGACTTGTTGGAACAGTTTGAATTTCCCAAATATTTATGTTTAGACAGATGGCTCAGAATATATATTTAACATCACTAGCTGTATATATTTTTAAAGTAAAATAAATAATGGAAAGGGACTTGACACACAAGTTTATTACTAAAATTTCAACTGTGTGAAGATCCATTTTAAGATATTACTTTGCTAATAATCTAAACAGTCTTTTTTCTATAAAACAAATGGTTTGTGGTTCACAGCTTTCATCCTGACTGATGTGATAATCAGCTTTGAAAATAGAGTGAACTGAAAAGCAATTTTATTCTTTGAAAGGTTTCATTTAAATCTCTGTACATCTACTTTTGCTTCAGTTTGTAAATGTGTAACATTTATAGTTAAATAGGACAAAGCAGACCCTATGACTATTGTTTTAAAAAATTAAACAAGTTAATATATAAATAATTCCAAGGGGGGTTTCATTTACTTTTGGAAAGAAAAATTTCTCTGAACACATGTTGGTTCTCCAGGATTGCACCAATCAATTCTTGTAGAATAAAAAAACAATCTTTCAACAAACTGACTTCATTTGTTTCTGTCAGGATTTGTCTTTTTAAAGCTCCTTACAAACTTGCAGCTTGGGTACAGTTTGTAGCGAGAGTGATTTTTTTTTTTTTTTTTTAAGTAGGCTCCACACCCAGCGTGGAGCCCAAAGGGCTCAATCTCACAACCCTGAGATCGTGACCTGAGCCGAAATCAAGAGACAGATGCTCAACCAACTGAGCCACCCAGGTCCCCTGAGAGAGTGATTTTTATTTGGTATTTCATTTAAACATCTCAGGGGCTGGCCAAGAAAGATAAAGAAGAGGAAGACCACCTCTAAACTACCTCCTTTTTAACTTTGTGCATTTCTTACTGAAAGTTCAGGTGAAAAGGAGTTAAACCCTCAGTTCTCTAAAAAGCTCATCGTTTTTGTGGTTTTTTTTTTTTTTTTAAGTAAATTAATCTTAGGTTTTTCAATACCAAGTCTCCTTGGGTTTTTTTCTTTCCCTTCATAATGCAGTCATAGGGGACATCCTGGTTCCTGGGCAAAATTCGACAAAAGTAGCAGAGAAGGAACAGCAAACATAGATCAGTATTTATTGAATGCTTACCCCGTGCCAGGTGCTATGCTAAGTATTTTACTTGTGTCGACACGTTTCATCTTTGCGATAATCCCATGAACTAAGGATATTCTTCCCATTTCACAGATGAGGAGATGGAGGCATAGACAGGTTAAGGAACCTTCCTATATCTCAGTCGTGAGCAGCAGCGGTGTGACCCGTGGCAGTCCAGCTCCAGAGCCCTCTCCAGCCACTGTGCAGCACCGCCTTACACTGGTTAAGGGTAGATCTCGGAAGGCTTAGCTATCTTGATTTTGGTACAGCTCAATGGCACTTCAGGGTTTTTTGGCGTTGGAGTCACAGCCAAGTTCAAATTATGGTTGTGTGACCTCACACAAAGGATTTTATGAATTCTCTGTATTTCTGTTTCTTCATCTACTGCTAAGGTAATATCTACTATAATGAGAGGTATTTATGAAACACCTAGTGCCTGTCATATATAAGCCCTTCATAAATAGCTCTATTTTTCTCATTGGTCCAGTTCTAGTCTCTTGATCTTTAGTTTCTGAAGTTCTTACTGTAGCCTCTATTCGTATGGCTCTTAAATAATATGTAACACAAGTGAAAGCATTTATCTATCGTGTACTTAATAGTCTGCTAGACGTTTCAAAAATGAATAAGATAGTCTGACCCCCAGGAACCTAACTTAGTTGAGGGAGACAGGATAGCTCTATGAGCCACTAATGTTACATAAGTAGTGAAGCGAAATCGACTTGGAGAGTCTAAAGACATTCTAGGATGCTAGAAGTAAAGAGACTACAGGATCTAAAGACTTACTCCCCAAGGAGTTTAACTCTGTCTCCCCACAGGGGAAGCCCATGGTTGTCTAACTAGGCCAGTGATTAAGTGGATTAATCTCTAATTCAGGGATATGGACTATTAGCCAGTCTCCGTTGCTACGTATTGAAAAACATGTTCTTTAACTTTGTTAATAATAAAAGTGATGTTTGATCTAAATTCTCTGTCATGGTTGTTTCCAGATCTGGGAGGAAATACAAGGATGTTATCACCAAAGGCACTGTTTTTCAGTCCACATTGCCCCATTTTATCCATAAGATATTAGAAGTGATCATATTACTTGCTGGAATCAAGATAGACTAGAAGTTAACACTGGTCTGGCACAATCTCTTCTAGCGCTGGTAACTACTAGTGATTACTACTCCTTTAAAAAGAAAAGGCAACACAAGAATTTGAGAATGCATGATTCAATGAGTAAAATACACTCAATCCCACCATCCACTTGGATGTATTTCGGTTACTTTTATAGATACATGTATATGTTTTAAAGAATTGGTATTATATTGCCTGAATAAGATTTTCAACTTAAAATTGTGAATTCTGACGTAATAGAGAAGTTATTAAATATGTATAACTTAAAGAGAAATAATGTAAAGCATACATTCATATAATCAGTGCTCAGGTTAAATGCGGCTTTCCCTGCACTGTAGTAGGCTTCTGTGTATCCATAACTGATCACGTCATTGACCTTCCCCACTAGACATAACCAGTGTTCTGATGGTAATGAAAATAATTTTATTTTTCTTTATATTCTCATCAGTTAGGTGTAGTAGTTCTTCTCAAGCCACTCTTTAAGAAAATTTCCAAACCATCACAAACTGATACTTGTGTAAATACAAAATCACGTGCTTCAATATTTTGGCACGATCAAATTATCAGCCTTTGTAACTGCTTACTTTTTAGGCATGCTTACGTTCTCTTTTTGTGCTCATCTCTTCAACCAGTAACAGTTGGGTGCGGCCTTGTGGACCACACTTTGAATAGCACTGATGATAGTTTTTTTTTAAGATTTTAATTATTTGATTGCGAGAGAGCATGAGCGGGGGGAGAGGCAGAGGGAGATGGAGAAGCAGACTCCCCGCTGAGCAGGCAGCCCGACATCGGGCTCCACCCCAGGACCCTGGGATCATGATCTGAGCTGAAGGCAGACGCCTAACCAACTAAGCCACCCGGGTGCCCTTTATTAAAGTTTAACAAAGTATTAAATCCTATTTAGTCATTAGGATAATACATGTATTCTCTTGTGACTTTGTTTTGCTGAGTCATCCATGTTGATGCCTATGGCTGTGGTTGGTTTCCATTACTGGGTAGCAGTCCATCCTATGAGTACACTGCAGTTGTGTGTCTCTTCTGCTGTTGCTGGCACTTGGATTTTTGCAAAGCCACAAAGAACATTCTTACATATCTGTCCCATTGCATATGTGTAGGATCTCTTGAGACTAATACCTTCAGGAGTAGAAGTGTTTGCATATGGAGTATGTGTATCTTCATCTCTACGAGGTCATATCTCACTTTTCGAAAGCAATTATAGCAATCAGTGCTTTGACCAGCAGCAGGGGGAAGGCTCCACATTTGATATTGTCAGACTTGGAGACTTTCAAAAAATCTCCTGGGTGTGTGACATTGTAAAGGCAACATTGAAGAATTTGAGAAATAATAGGGCAAAGAGTACAATCCACCCATACTCCCACAATCCATTTAATCTGTACCCGTGAAACAAATAATACATTATATGTTAATAATTTAAAAAAAAATGTATTTCAGTTACCTTTTTAGATTACATATATATGTTCTTAAAGAAACTGGTATTCTACTTAGTGTTGCTTAATTTGCATTTCCATGAGGTTCATTTGTTTGCTTACCATTTCGATTTCTTCTTTTGTAAAGGGCCTGTTCAAATCATTTGCCCATTTTTAAAAATGGGATTGTTCCAAAAAAAAAAATTGGGATTGTTCCAACATTTTTTGGTTCACAGGATCCCCTTATAAATTCCGGAGGCTAATCCTTTGGTTATAACTGTTTCAAATATTTTCTCAGTCTCTTTATCTTTCTGATCCTAATGCAGTGTATCAGTTTTTGTTCTGTATTGTTGGTGGTTTTGTGTCTTGTTGAAGAAATATTTCTCTGTCCTGGAGTCATGAATATCTTCTTTTGTGCTATGTTCTAAAATATGTAAATTTTGTCTTCTACTTGAATCAAGTTTTGTGTATAGGATAAGATAAATAACCTCGTTCTTGTTTTTTTCCTAATTCCTTGAAAACTCATCTTTCTCTGTTTTGATTTGCCATACCAGTTCTGTCATCGATAAATGCCCATATTTACCGGAGTCTATTTCTGGGCTCTTCATTCTATTCTATTTGTCAGTCTGTCCATATATCAGTAACATATTGCCTTAATTACTAAAGCTTTTAAAATTCTTGATGTCTGGTAAAACAGGTCTTTATACCTTTTTCTTCGAGATTTTTGGCTGTTATCTATCCTTTGCATTTTTGTGCAAAGTTTGGAATTAGCCCAAATTTCAACTAAACAAAATAATCTGTCACTTTTCTGTATTACTGTCATGGATATTTTGCTTGGATCTTCAACTTCTTAGTCTAATATATATTTAAAACTGTAGATTTCTTTCAAAATGCGACTTTAGCTGCATGTTCATTTTCTGTGCTCTGTGACAAGTGACCACAAGTTTACCCGTCTACAACAGCGTACTTCTCTTATCTCCTAGTTTCTCTGGGTGAAGAGTCTGCGCACAGTTTAGCTGGGTCCTCTGTTCAGGGGTTCACAGGGCTGCATCAGGTAGTCACCTGGACTGTGTTCTCAGCTGGAACATGGGGTCTTCTTTCACACTCATCAGGTTGCTGACAAAATTCAGTTCCTTGCGGCCCTCCGTCACTAGAGGCTGCCTGTCCATATAAGCAGATCACGTCTTGACTGCATGCTGCTTCCTGGCCAGCAGGAGAGACTCTCTGCTGTGAGTCCCTTTCAGGAAAGCCCAGCCAGGATTCACCTGATGAGGTCACAACCACCCAGAATAAGCTCCCTTTTGACTAACTCAGAGCCAACGGAATAGGAACATTGATTGCATCTCCAAAATCTTTTCATCTTTGCCCTATCTGTTGGTAAGCAAGTTTGTAGGTTCTGCCCTCAAAAGGGTATGGATATGGGGATGGGGAGGGAATGCAGAGGCTCTCTTGGAATTCTGCCTATCACGGACTCCATTCTGCATGTCTGGTCATCTGTTTTAGTTGCTTATTAACTTCAGAGTTTTCTGATTTCATTATTACTTGTATTTGACCCACAGATATTATTTGGAACTAGAGTTCTTAATTTTCAGCCATAGCTATCTGAGTGATTGCATTGTTATTAGAGAATATGTTCTCTGCATGATTGAAATTCGTTGACATTTGTTGACGGTTGCCTTATGACTCCATTTACCTCCCTCTCGATTTATATGTTGTCATGTATTTTGTATCTGTTTTTTTTTAACGATTTTATTTATCTTATTTGAGAGAGAGAATGAGAGAGAGAGCACATAAGAGGGGGGAGGGTCAGAGGGAGAAGCAGACTCCCCACTGAGCAGGGAGCCCAATGCGGGACTCGATCCCGGAACTCCAGGACCATGACCTGAGCCGAAGGCAGTCGCCCAACCAACTGAGCCACCCAGGCACCCTTTGCATTTCTTTAAATATGTCATGACTGTTGTTTTGTACAGTCAGTATTCCTTTAGGTTTGTCCATATCTTTACCGCCCTTTTTGCTCTCTGTTCTTTGCTGGGTCTTTGAGCTTCCATCTGGAACAATGTAGTGCAGTTTGGCTAGTGGCAGATTCACCTGAATTTTTTTTTTGAAAATGTCTTTATTTTTCCTTCCTTTTTTTTTTTTTTTAAAGATTTTATCTATTTGAGAGAGAAAGAGTGAGAGAGAGAGAGAGAGCATGAACAGGGTGAGGGGCAGAGGGAGAAGCAGACTCCCCACTGAGCAAGGAGCCCAATGCGGGACTCGATCCCGGGACTGTGGGATCATGACCTGAGCCAAAGGCAGATGCTGAATTGACTGAGCCACCCAGGCGCCCTTTTTTCCTTCATTCTTAAAGGGAATTTTTTTCTGGGCCTGGAATTTTCTTTGGGTGAAGATCTTGAAGATACCTTCCCACTGTCTTCTGGCTTCTGCATCGTTGCTATGAAGAAATCAACTATTAGTCTCTTGCTCCATTGAAACTAATGGAATCTTTTTCCTCTGGCTGCTTTCAAGGTTTTTTCTTTGTATTTACTTTTCTGCAGCTTTATTATGCTGTGTCTTAAGGGAGGATTTCACTGTATATTTCCACTCGGATTTTGTTTGGCATCTTGGGTTTGTGGATTGTTACATCAATTCTGGGAAATTCTCAGTTATAATCTTTAAATATTGCCTCTGCCCAGTATTCTCGCTCCTTGACTTCTGGGGCTCCAAGTAAACACATGTTAGACCTTCTTTGGTTTATTTCCTGTATCTTCATTTTTCTAGATGTTCTGCATTTATTTTCTCTGCATCATCCTAGATGGTTTCTTCTACTATAGCCTATAAATCATGAATTCACTTTTCACCTATTTCTAATTGGCCATTAGCCTCATTCATTGAGTTCATAATTTCATTTTTTATATTTTTTAATTCTGGTTTTGTTTTGTTTTGTTTTTGGTTCTTTTTCTTACCTGCCCTGTTACATTTTATGGTCTCTAGTTCCTTGCTGCATTTTTAAGTGAGGATTTTATTTCCATGCATTATCCTTTGTGTCTGATAATTCCAATATCCTCAGCCTGCTGTGGTTCTGTTTCTGCTATCTCTAGTTCATGTTGCTGGTAGTTAGTGCTGTCTTGGCATTGTCTTTAATTGTTTGCTTGAAAACCCTGGGGAAAAAATACAGAAATAATTTGAGATCTGGGGTGACTTTATCTTCCTTAAGAGGTTTTTGTTTCTCTCTGCCAAGTGCCTGAGGTCATTAGGAGTCTGGAACCTAGGCTTTAGATTCTCTGTCTCCCTCCAGATGACCCACTGCACTGCACTCTGTACCCCGACTCCAGGTTACAGCCCCTGGACTCCAGTCTTTGCCTTTCCAACTCTAATTGTTGGTGAAACTACAACTCTGCCTCTCTCCTAATTCCTCTAGACTGGTAATCCACCACAAG